CTGCTTTGTGGTTCTTATTGTTATGACAAAAGAAACTACGCCAAGACTGACAAATAATGTATTTTCTTTGCTATGCTATGCTGTTATGTTTGTTTTTCAATGGGGGTGTAGTAGTGTACAGTTTTGATGAATATATTAAGAAAAGAACATTTTGATATAAAGTTGTATATATACACACATGATAGTGTGCAATATTTTTTCCTACACTTTTTCTCTCCCTATACTCTTATTCTGAGTGCTCATTGCAACACAATTACCAAAGTTAAAGATGAATTTGAGTGTAAGTATTATTCATTTCTCTATCTATTTTATAATTTTTTTGAATAGAAATTGCAAGGATATTGGTAGTGAATACAACAACTGTGTAGATAAAATCTCAGCTATGGCAGTCCTAGTTTCCTAAATTGTTTCTTTCCTCCAAGTTCAGGAGTAGTCAACAGTGGTGATGTATTTTTGCAAAAAAACACAAAGCCTCTCGTGGGAAAGAAAATCATTACACCAAAAATCGACTAGAAAAAAAATAAGAAAGGAAAGGCTACCAATCAGCTACCTTTAAAAATGCATCATAAATGCTGCCTTAACCAGTTGAGCCCCGAGCCTGTTTTTCAGGCCTCAGGCTCGAAAATGACATTCCCATAACAAATGACCATATGTTCCTTTCTAAAAGGGGTAAATTAATTATCTTTTTTCTCAAAGCAATGATAAACCTATGAGCTGGATGTAGAGGAGACAGAAGCAATATAGAATTTTTTTTAAAAAGTAAATTCAGATTGAACATAGTAAAAAAAATGTAAATGATAGTGTCCGTCCAAAAGAAAAAACATTACTTATAGTGAAAACCACCCTTGAATGAGGGAATAGTAGACTAAAAGCTTTAGGAATCCAAACTATAACATATAATAAGTACCCTGTATCAAGATTGATGCTAAACAAGTGACATTTGACCTTTATAGAGATTTTTAGAAAAAACAACACTTCTGGGGTGATTTGGGTGCATTTTCCATATGGCCCCCCTTGGTCAAGTGGTTTCTCCGTGAAGCTACGTATTGTGATGTCTATGTTTGCTTCTCCAGTCGCAAGTTCTGATCACTCAGTGATGATAGTTATATGTCTGGAATCTGTGGAATCTCAGCTTGCTAATCGATATCTTGTTTGTGCAGATACAATAAGTAATAAGGGTATTTTACCTTGAGTTCTGTGCTAATTGCGTTAGCGTTTTTCGCTCAGGGCTAATTCAGAGCCTTTGTTATTACCCTGTTGTTTCGTTTAGCTTAACATGGTAATATTGTCTGAAAGGTGAGTTTCTTCTTGTTAAGTGAGTATGACACATTCATAGTTTATTAAATGTTAAGAAGCCCTCTGACGCTGTTTCTTGCAAGATGTTGCGTTAACTGGTTAAGTACATAATGGAGTTCAAGATCCTCAGCTATGAAGGATGTCAAGGAGGGAGGTCTGATTTGTGTGTGTGTGTGTGTGTGTGTGTGTGTGTGTGTGTGTGTGTGTGTGTGTGTGTGTGTGTGTGTGTGTGTGTGTGTGTGTGTGTGTGTGTGTGTGAACTGGTGAAGCTGTTTGTAAAGAGAAATACATTTGTCTTCTGCTGTGTGTGTCAGTCAGATAACCTCTGACCTCACACATACCTGCACAAGGTTCCTGTCTGTCACATTCTTAAAAGGTGAACTTTACATGGCTCCAACAAAGGACTAATTGTCATAATCTACATTAACAGTCACCTGTGAGTCTGACACACACACACACACACACACACACACACACACACACACACACACACCCTTTCACCTTGAGTTGTTCCTGTTTGCATGAGTGCACCAGTGCCAAAAGCAGAGTGAGTCAGTAAAAACACTTAATGAAATACTGCACAGAGAGCATCGTGTGGGGCCTTATTTTCCAAGATAAGTATTTCAAACACAGCAAGAAAAAAATATATAGAAACAGGCCCATGTAGCCTGTGGCTCAACAAAAACAGAGTGATAGACTGACTATTTCTGTAAAGGTGAGATTACAACAGATAAGATTAACCAGACCTTTAAATAGGAAGAGACTTGCCCAGCATATACAAAAATAAAATAAAATATAAGATAATAATTACTACCGTAAGTCAGTGCTTCTATTTTCTATTCAATCTTGCTACAAAAACATAATGAGAACATACATAAGCAACATGTCTTAGATGTTAAAAGGCCTCCTCTGTTGCTACCCTTTCTCTTTTTGACATCTCTTAAAAGTGTCTGAAATATACATCTCAGGATTAGGTGCCTAAAAAGATATCCCTTCAGTAAAGAAGATAGTGTGTGTATGATTCACACACACACACAAAAACACACACCGAGTGGTTGTGTTTTTTGGCTTGTCCAGCGCCCTGGCGTGTCTCCCAGACCCTGAATTGCACCCCGGCTATTACTGCTGCAGCCAAATGGGTCAGACCACTGAATGTGTGCTGGTATTGATTTCACACAACAGACATCACCCGTGTGTCTGAATGTGTGTGTTTAAGTAACAGAAGCCAGAAATGTAGTAACCACGCACACACATATACAAAGAAAAGAAAAAGGGGTAGCCAGACAGATTATGTAAACAACATCTTATGACCAACTCTGCGTGTGGCAAGTTGTGTGTCTCTGTGTGTGTCACTTTGTTTGAATTTCCTGTCCTTAAAAAAACAGCTTGAGACAGGTACACACCTCATCTCCAGGCTAAACAGTTACCTAAAACACACACACACACACACACACACACACACACACACACACAGATAAGCATCTGAGTCAGTGTTCAAGCAAAAACACTGTTATCACTCCTCAACTCAAGGCCCCTTCAGAAGGAACTTAAAAGGAAGGATTTAAAGGAATGGTGAAGCCCTCAACTCTAGTGGAAGAAATGCCCGCACACTGCGCCCAATCAGAAGCTTTCGGTTCTAAAAGATGTGCTGAGAGGAAGATGGACAGACATGATCCAAATTTCAAGTTATGTCGCCCACACATACACAAAGACAAAGAAACAAACAATTTGAATATGACAGATGGAGAGGGAGAAAATTCAAAATAAACACTGTAGTTATTTTCAAGAAGCCCTTGAGAAACAAGAAATCCCTGGATAAAAAAAAATCTAAAACAGAAACATTTAATTATAAAGTCTTTAGTATGCTATACATAACATTTCAGAAGTATTTATCATTACACATGTATTTCAAATGAATACTGTATCTACTATCTACCTTGAGATATAACGTATGCAAACAAGAAGAGGCTGCTGTTGTCCAGATGGAAGTGGCCTGTTATAATGTATTGTAAAACCATTATTACTTCTTATAAAATGTCACTCATTTGAGATGACAACCACTGTAGAGGATGATAAAGCAGTTAATTGTGCATGCTAATTATTTAGATGTTTTAATATTATATATATATATATATATATATGGCAATTTTAAGCATAAAAATACAATGGGGGTTGAACAGAAAATGTCAAATGTATGTTAAGTTAGTGTTATGGAGTTCAAGACAAGAGAAAAGCAAGTTGAACAGACGTACTTCAAGCTAGAGAGGTATGTTGGGCTTCTACACAGTGCCAGAGGGAAATATAAAGTTTCTACACAGTGCCAGAGGGAAATATAAAGGGGAGTTGAGGACGACAGGATGGGAGACGCGTGTGGAGAAAGAGGTAATGTGAGAAACGGAGAGAAAGTGTGTCAGAGTGCTCATCAACAGATATACTGGCTCACATAGTGGCTGATGCACAAACACTGTCCATATAGCTAAATGCACTAAACTTCAAACCCATCGCTGTACAGTGACCTAGATGATAGTCTTGTTAACCCAGTTGTACATTTGATATTACTATGTAAGATCTATATATGGGATTGAGATAAACATAATCCAGCAGAGAAAAAGTGCAATGTCGGTACTAATCTCAAAACATGCATTGTGTCATTTAATTCCATGGCAGATTATTACTTCCTTAAAAATAAGAGGTTATCATCTGGCAAGAGCAATAACATGCTTGCTTATACATACCATTGCATGAATAAAGATGTTTGTTCTTAATCACACAATAAAACCTAGAGATTCAGGCCAGACATGTGATCCAACCTCATTTTAATATGGATCCCCTTTAAGCGTATTATCGGAGCAACAATTCTATATTTATTGACTACTTCTGACATGCACTGCCTTAATTAATTGAACTCAAATTCCATGAAAGATTATCTTTCATAAAGGAGAAGATTAAAATTGCATCATTCTTATATTCGTCAAATATCAAATCCATGCTATATGTGCATTTTTCAAATAGTAATTTTTGTTATGGTGGGGCTGTAACTAATCCATACCAGGAGAGCACATGTTAAGCTCCATGTGTGTGTTTATTTTGGAATAGTGTAGCTCGAGTGCGGCACTAAGTTCTCCTTCAACTTGTCTATTAAATAAAGTGAAATAAAGATGGAAAGACTGTAACAAAAGTGAGAGGTTTAGAAAAGAACACATCAATGTTGTCCTTCAAAAACTTATATTTCTAAAAAAGTAAAGCTTGCTTTCATTGTTTGTAAAAAGCATACGTAGATGGTATACGCTTGGCAGTACGATGAATTATACTTTCTAATATCTCTGCTGAAATGTATTGTATCTGAGGCGGTGCATAAACCAAAGTCTAGCTAATTCACTTTTTCCCGTTTTATACAATTGATTGTGATCGAGTGTGATTACATATGAAAGTGGCAATATATGGAATGAGTAAAGACATACAGTTTGCAAAACCACTAATATTATTGTACAAGTCTCACCTTTATGAGTCTTGAAGTGAAGTATTGAGAGACAAAGGGAGAGAATACAAGAAAGAGATGTTTTCCAAACACCTCTATGAGAGCTCGGACACAGGCACCTACACAAACAAATGGCTATTCACAATGGTCTGCTAAATAGCTGAAGAAGTGAGAGGAGAAAAATATAAAACGTATATTGGTGACATCAGGACACATCCTGTCTTACTTCTCTTTGAGGAAGTCCACCACTTTCTTGAAGTCATCGATGCAATACTCTCTCTTCATGTCCATCAGGACGCTGTCTGAGGCCGACTGCACAGGAACATGAAGGAAGCCATAGACCCGCGGATGATTTAATATCTTAGCCATCTCCTAATGAAACAGAGAGAAGAAAAATATAAATAAAAAGGGGTTACATTTTGTACATGCATGGAGGGGAAAGGCAATAGGGGTGAACAAGTGTGAGTTTGTTTCCATGTTGCATATGTTAGTGTAAGTCTTAACTACTGTTGCTCATATGTTTTCAATGAGGGATAGCAGATAGAAGAAGGCCACTTTTCTGTTGTTAAGTTTACAAATTCATTGTTTTACAACTCCTCAAACAATTTGCTGATCTTAAAATACGTGTGTTTCAAGGCACAAACGTTATTCTACTTACTTTATGATCTTTATACCTACATTATGTAGAAACGCAGAATGTAAAGATTTAATTGAGATATTTCATTTATTTAAAACTTTTATCTCGTTTGATTAACTGCTACACAACACTGACGGACAGACTTTTTTAAATCTGCACTTTGTAAAAGCTCCCAGGTTCATTTTTGATAGAAATAAGATTTCTAATGTTTTGAATAGTAGTTTTTTAGTTGGATGACCATATTATAATTAACATTTAAGTTAGAACTGATAGTTGACAAACCTAAGACTAAAGGACAGACATGATGAACAAGTGGTTTCTATAAGCCTTGGAAGTTATGAATCTAAGGTCAGAAAATGAAAGCTCTGTAGGTATTTGATGTGATGAAGTCAATGCAAATGGAAAGAAAAGGCAACATCTCTTAGGGATGAATGATAGCTGCTAGCTTTAGATAGGATAAAGGATCCATTAACATTCTCGACGCTGTCTGCATTCTTTTCACTCAAGTCCTTCTACAATACACTGCCTCTTTTCTTTTGATTTTCTATGCCTCTTATACTGGAAACAAATTAATAAAAGCATCTGGCAGAATTCATCATGTAACCACTATATCCAAAGTCCAAGGAGTCAAGGCTGCACCAGTCGAGGTTCTTTATGTCTAAAAAGCCAAGAGCTTTCATTGAAGAATAAAGATCCACATCTAAGATACAAATGGTTTAAAAAATAAATAAACATGAAGAAAATAATAATCTCTTTCTGGCCACCTTTGCTTTTACACTGAAGAGTCATACCAATGGTTGATGTACTGTATAGCCTGAGCTCACCTTAATAACGGCATTTTCTAGAATTCAGGAAACAGGTTTTAAGTTATTTTGCAAAACGAATAAACATATTAATATAAGGTGTCAGATAAACATCAAACTGTGATGTTCAGTTAATTCTGGGAGTTGTGTTTTAAGGTGAAATGTGTAGAAACTGAAGTAATATGAAAAAAGAGACATTCAAAAAACTGCCTTCCTCCTCAGGATTAATTTGAAAAACACAAAATTATATTTTTCAATTAAGGCAATCATACCCAGATATTTAAGGTCTGTAATTTTAGTTTATTGATACCATTTCAACAGAAACCCTTTAGCTCATGTATCCATCTAGCCGAATTTCTAGAAGGAGGTAAAAACATGTTTTTCTTTAGTAGCAACATGAGACTTTGAATCGTGTTTTTGTCTCAGCTCCAAGAACCATTGCAACATATTATGTGCATTTTAATACATCATGTTAATTGGAAGAGTTAAAGTTTTTTTTTCTTTCTTTCATTTCTACTTTCATTTCCTCACTAATAGAACTGGAGAGACCACAGATGTCATATTTCTTCTGATGGACATAATCAGGATGCTATCATTACCATGCTAATCACCACATAAGGAGAAAGAGAAAAAGAGAAGGGAGGAAGAAATGATTTAATGATTTCCTACAAGAATATGCTGATTGCAGTCCGTCTTCTCAATTAAGATCTATTGTAGAACGTTCCCTACTTCACACGCACGCACATGCGCACGCGCACACACACACACAAAGCTCAGTTGCAGCTCACCACAGGGGGTTGACCACTAGAAGCTGCAAATTACAAATTATTAATTCGGTTGGAAAATGGAGCTTGATTGGTGACAGAAATCATGTGTGTGTGTGTGTGTGTGTGCGCGCGCGTGCGTGCGTGCGTGTGGGGGGGGGGGGGAGAGTGGAAGGAATACGTGTAAAGGAACATGCACTTAAATGTTTTTAAAGCTTTAAGGGTAAAACAATACCAGATTGATTATGTATCCATTAGGTATTTCTAAGTTCTTATAAGTGACTCTGATTTGAGTGTGCTTTAAAATGTTTGAAAACCACAGAATTGCAATACAGGGAGGTTCAAAAAAAGATCTCACGTATACATGACTTCATCCCATTCAGCATTTCATCAGACAACTGACAATACCATCTAAAACATTCTTACACAATATATCTTTTGTGCTATAGGAGTGAATTGCACTACACATAGTAATGGTCTGTGTGGTAATATTTATTTAACATAAGCGTTTAGTTTATTTAATAAAAGAGCACATGTTCAATGCGAAAAGTGACCGTAGATAGATTACTTCAGTTGCGATTTGGCGCTATATAATAATAATAATAATAATAAATGGGATTTATATAGCGCTTTTCTAGACCCAAAGACGCTTTACATTATGAGTCAGGTCGACAAACAAAACAAGTTGTGTATAAGTATGTACGTGTGTGTGTGTATGCGTAGTTGACTAGTCTTTATCCAGCCACCCGGTAACCCATCGATAGTATAACAGCAATTAGGATTACTCTGAACTCGTCGTATGATGATATGTATTTACGACGCTGTATACGATATTTGACATCTTCATATGTATGACTTCCGTTTCGTCCACAGTTTCGTAAAAAAGTATTTTCTTTTTAGTTACACATTGCTGGCTCATTTGCCTTATTGTATACCCCGCTGACCGACGGGCTCCTTTACGCCAGCAGTAAGTTGGTCTTCCAACACCAAGCTAGGGTCGGGCATGTCGGGTTGTACAGCTACATAGGAACCCGTTCTATGAATTGGGGTTGCCACACCACCTACACATCTTACAATCCAGGATCTTCATTCCATGTGACTAGACATACTTACCAGCACTTACCCACTTACTGTACATCATACATTTCGCGACGACTCCCCAGCATTTCTGACCTATTTCGCGACTATATTCATGTCGAGTAAATGTAGTCCGTCTGGACGCAAGTGAGTCACGAAAAGGGATGGTAACAGAACCCCCCCACCGACGCGAGTGGGGTGCTCGGGCGGGGGGGGACTCTTTAAGTCCACACATAAAAAATATAGATTATATATAACTATAACGCTTGAGTGGGAGAAGCCGTAGTTCGTGTTGTAGGGAGTTGTCTGAGGTCGCACAGTGTCTTGCGTCTGGCGGTCTGAGGAGTGGGTGTGGTTTTAGTACCGTAGTTGTAGTGGTGGGGCCAGGAGTTTCTTGAGGTGACGCGAAGGCGAGAGTGTGGCGTAAGTGATGTTTGAGGACCAGGAGTGATATTCGGGGAGGTGGTAAGACCGGGGGGGATGGAGTGACTGGAGGAGTAGGAGATTGTTGGTGGGGTCAGGGAGTCTAGGTGAGTGGCAAACGAGAGTTAGGGGTTCCGGTTTGAGGCCTCGAAGCCGCTGTCTCGGAAAGAGACACGGTCGGGGCTTCGAGACCTTTGAGGGAGGCGGGCGTTCTTGCAGGACTCAGATCTACTAGAGGGAGTGGGACAAAGGTCAGGGCAGAGTTTTGGGTGGAGAGTTGAGCACGGAATAAGGAATTTGGGCGGGGAGGGGGGAAGACTTGGTTGGGTAGGGAGGACCTGACGAAAGACAAAAAAAC